CACTGCAGTGGGGGTGCCTGGGTATCTCAGTCGGTGAAGCGTCTGCCGTCGGCTCAGGTCATGATCCCGGGGTCCTGGCATTGAGCCCCGCATCGGGCTCCCTGCTCAGCGGGGAGTCTGCTTCTCCCTCTCCCTCAGCCTGCCGTTCCCCCTGCTCATGCTCTCTCTCTCTGACAAATAAATAAATAAAATCTTAAAAAAAACCCCACTGCAGTGGATCCTGAAGGTGCTGCAGCTGGAGGCTCTCAGCTACCTTCACTCCTTGCAGTTAAATGGCAAATTCTTTCTTGAAGGGAGAGCCCAGCAACGATCCTTCACGCCTGCCACAGAGGACTGCCCCGGGAGTGCCACTAGCATGGAGGGTGGTGAAAGAATTTTTGAGAACTTGACACATGCCTCCTGGAATTTGGGGGCATCTGTGAACGTAGAGGATTCCCACTTCTCCCCCAGAGAATGCTGCAGGTGGAATAAAATAACCTACCACAGCAGGGTAAGGAGAGAAGGCACAAGTTGGGGGGGTGGAGAGGGGCTTGTTCTCCCATTGGTCGGCATGGGGAGGATGCTTGAGTTTCCCAAGAAACAAGTAGGTGCCTCAGAATGAAGCTGGACTCCAGCTGTTGTGAAGTTATCCTGCTTTCAGCAGGTAACCTGTTGAGGTGAGGGATCCCCAGTTAGTAAGAGGCCATGAGGTATACTATCAGGGATAGAAACTGAAAGAAGGTTGCAAGTAAATCAGCAAGAGAGCCCAGTGTTCAAACTGGGGAACTGTGCAGTGTGGAGATTTTTTTGGCATCTCTGAAGAATCCATCTATGTGTCCTCCTAACCTCTACCTCCCCCAAAAGCAAGCATTAGGAATACCTGCCACGCTGAGGACATCAAGGCCAGCCTATATTAGGCAGGAAAGAGCGACAAAAGAGACCAGATAAGTAAAAATAAAAACAAAAATGAAACATCAAAAACAAAACACTTGGGGACGCCTGGGTGGCTAAGTCAGTGAAGTATCTGCCTTTGGCTCAGGTCATGATCCCCGGGTCCTGGGATGGAGCCCCACGTCGGGCTCCCTGCTCAGCAGGAAGCCTGCTTCTCCCTCTCCCTCTGCCTCTCCCCCTGCTTTTTCCCCCTCTCTCTCTCTGACAAATAAATAAAATCTTAAAAAAAAAAAAGGAAAACAAAACGCTTGGCTCCTTTTCTCTAACCCCCCACCGCCCCTTACTCTAGGGGACCCAGAAGCAGCTGAGCGAGGGGAAGGAGAATAAAAGAGCAGTAGAGGTCGGGCCTAACCTGGGATGGGAGAAGACACTGTTTGAGCGGAGTGGTTGGAGACAAAGCTTTTTTTTTTTTTTTTT